TGCTGAATTTCTTCAGACAACTATGTCATCTTCTCACATGTTAGAAAGCGACTGTGTTACCAGTAATCAAATCCACTGACCCGATTATAACATCCGTAATCGCCAGTCGTCTCTGGAATTATCTAATCATCCTTAATCGCTTTCTTTCAAGATCTTGCAGTTTTTTTAATGTTTTACAATAATAAGGTAAGTTATCGGTTGTACCGACGAAGTCTCCCGGAATTTGCTAGTTTTCCAGTTGCTAAAATTCTTCTTACTAGCTGCACTTTCGCTCATCCCCAAGTCTTCGTCCCGACTGATTTGTGGAATAGATGTATTTACTGGTACTATCATGGAAATGCATATAAAATTTGATTGTCGTAAGCGGCTAGGTAAAAGTCACTTTCTTCTTATTATTTCGAGCTTTTGAGCTAATTTCAGGCGCACATCGAAAATGTTGCACTGCTCATGGTGTTTGCTATAAACTCAAGATGCCGTGGAAGGAATGCGATAAGAAATATTGTGAATGTGTTCATGAAATTGCTGAGAAAGTCAGAGGAAAATGCAAGGTGGGAAACACTAAAAAAGGCATATCATACTTAGATTGGTCTTTCTCGTATGTGTTTTTTTTTCAGAATCATGCCAAAAACTTCTGCAAGATCGTGAAAGATAACGGACGATTCGTTTATCATCTTCTCCAGAAAGGATAATTGCCAAAAGACAATAGTAATAAATATTTGGTTTGCTCTCGAGTACTTGAAGTCTGTCAGAATTTCTATTTGAAACTATTATAGATCTGCCATGCAATGAATAAGCAGACAAAAGCGGAAGATGTAGAATGTTTCGTTTGTATGATTCTCGACTATGAAGCTCAAAATCTTTAACGTGGATCTTCTTTTCTAAACATTCAACCTGAAATTTGTAATCCTAGCTTCGGAGAATTTTTCTATTAGTGTTTTTCTTGTTGGATATATTGTCCAACTAATTTTTGGGTTTAGAGCGTAATTTGGGAAATTGTGGCACAAAATCTACTGTGCATAAGAAACTCCTTTCCCT